CCAGCCAAAATGCTGGCCGAAACCTACAAAAATAAATCTTTTTAAATGCATGACTGAGCTGGCATTCCAGGATGGAATTAACAGAAGTCAATAAAAAAAAAGGACTGGCAGGAACCGGAGCCCGTTCTTACCCAGAAAGTTTTGTCTGTTTGGACAGCTGCTGGGAGCGTGGGCACAAGAAACAAAACCTAAGCCCCCCCCCCAAAAAAATGAGGTCACGGCCTGAGATCTCAGCATTTAAGAGTTGAAGCCACTCTGCAAATGGAAACAGGAGGGAAGGCATTACACGGACCCTGAGGCTTGGTGGCCTTGGGGATTGGTGACAAGCTTTCCCCACAGAGCCGTAGCGTGGGCTCAGAGGGATTTGTGTTCGAATGGGGTGGAGGCGAAGCTGGCGCCCACCTGGTACCTTTCGATTTGAATCATGCCCCGGAGGCCTTCCAGCGTGAGCTTGGAAGTCAGTGCCCCAGCGCCACGTTCAATTTTCTCGCGTGAGCGAGTGGGAAGCCTCCTGCCCCGTGCAAAGAGATCAAGACCCAACTGTGGTCCGGCCTCGGCCCGCACGCCCTCCTCGGGCCTTTGTTCTTTCTACCAAATGAGGAGGGTGGATTCTGTGATCCTGGAAGCCCCTTCCAGCTGCCTCTGGGTTTCAGGAGGGCACAGAGAGCTGAGCGATCAGAGAAAGTGTCATGACATAGAAGCAGGAGGTACGTGCCCGGCACGCGTGGGCTGTGCCGCACAGACGGAAGACGCAGCCGGCGGTGGCTCCCAGGTGGACAGGTCCACCCTTTCTCCGGGCGGGAGTCCGCAGGCAGGTAACCTCACCTGCGCAGTGTGCCCGCAACCCGACACGGGGAGGAATTGAGGCAAAAAAAATATCCCACGGCCTTTAACTGCCCCCCGTGCGTGTTGTGGCGTCCAAAAGCTGCCGTACTTCCAGTGCCTGTTTACGGCCACCCACAGGTGGGTTCAGAGGCTGCTTAATTTGCACTTTGTTAAAGGAAGCAAGCTTTGTCTGGGACTTGGAGTCAGCAGAAAGGAATGTTTAAGTTAAGACAAGGACAATGCTGGTCACAGTCTGTCAAAGGGACCCGGTCAGCCAGATCTGTGGCCTGCAGGTGCAGCTTAACCCATGCATGGCACAGCCTCAGGTCTTGTTTGTATCTTGGTACCTTTTTATTTCATTTTTTTTTTATTTTAGCATATTATGGGGGTACAAGTGTTAAGGTTACATTTATTGCCCATGCCCCCCTCCCCCCTCGAGTAAGAGCTTCAAGCGTGTCCATCCCCCAAACGTTGCACATCTTACTCGTTGTGGTTGTATCTACCCCTCCCCTCCTCCCCCTCCCACCCGCCGGACACCCGATAGATGTTACTCCTGTATGTGTCCACTTAGGTGCTGATCCATTAACACCAATTTGCTGGTGAGTGCATGTGGTGCTGGTTTTTCCATTCTTGGGTATCTCACCGCCACGAGGAGCCTGCCCTGTCAGTCTCACGCTCTCTATTTCAGCACGAACGCGGGTCCCTTGTGGTGTCTGAACTCCGGACGGGAGCAGGTATGAGGCACTGTGTCCCACCACCCCGCCCGCCCGCCTGCCGTGGCCGGAAACCCAGTCTTCAAGGTTGCTCTGGGGTTGCCTTTGCCAAGAGGGGTGAACTCAGTGGGTGGGGGGTGGGGACTGGGGACTTAAGGTTTTATTTGCAGCTTACAGCAGGTTCAGGAGGAGGCAGAGGAGGGCGGGCTTGCTGTCTCAGCGCACAGAGCCGGGAGAACACCCGTGTGAAGACGGACGCACTGGGGGCTCAGGCCAGCGCCGTGCAGGGCTCAGCTGTCTAAACCCCCGAAGCTTTGGAGTGAGGACACCTCGAATAGGGCACTGCAACTCGGGGTCACCAATCAGGGCAGGCGGCGAGGTCTGCCCCACCATGCACTCAGAACCAAGACGTCCAACACCCGCCCCTGGTGAGTCCGTCTGCCCTGGGGCTCACAGACCACGGCTCTGGGCTTGGACTTTTAAGACGAGAGCATCCTGTGGGCCCCGCCGAGACTGCGGAGTTGCTGGCCCTCAGCGTGGGACCACAGCCGTGCCCCTAGCCCTGCACCTTGGCCCCTGGAGGACCAGGCTCACCCTCCTCCTCCTCCTCCTCCGGCAGGGGGACTCAGCCAGCCCCACGAGTCCTCTAAACCATGGGGCACGTGGTCGTGTGTGATTTTTTTTTTTTTTTAGGCAGAGGAAGAGGCCCTGCAGCTTATATCTGAATCTCGAAGTTTATACCCAAAAAAGGCAAAGCCTCCTGCTGGACACGGCAGGCCACGGGGAATGCAGCCGGGATGTGCCTGTCACAGAATCAGACGAGCGTCTCTGTTCACGGCTCCCCGGGGTTCAAGCGTTTCAGCGAGTTTGCCCTCGGACGGAAGGACGGACGGGTGGACAGATGCCTCTGCAAGGAGCCTCTTCAGTTCCCAGCGGGCAGCAAAGGACTTTCAAGAACGAGTCAGCATTAACTCAAGCCTGTGCGTGCCGGCACAGGTCCCAGGCCTATGGAAGACACCTGCGAATCAATATTCAGAGGTGGCATTTTATAACTAACTTAACTGTGCTTTCTTTTTTCTAACCGGGAGATTAATGTATAACCCCTTTTTGTTTGCTTGTTTTTGAGACACGGCCTCGTTCTGTCACCCCGAGTAGAGTGCCGTGGCATCATCGCAGCTCACGGCAGCCTCCAGCCTCCTGGGCCCAAGCGATCCTCCTGCCTCAGCCTCCCCGGTAGCGGGGACTACAGGTGTGCACCAATTATTTTCCACTAGAGGACAATCTCTCTCCCTGCCCCCCATGCTCTGATGTGACACTAGTAATTACAGAAATGTTCAGTTGATGTTCGCATGATTTCTCAAACAATACTTGTTCAAGCGAGAATAAAAATGCATTACCCATAATAAGCTAAAAGGAAGGAAATAAAATACTCAGATGCGTTTACATCTAATACGCACACTCACACACACACACACCCAGATCCACCTTGTTCCCAAGCTGCCTTTTAACTTAAATGTCCCGGACATATTTCCACATCCGTAGATACTTATTTTCCTAATTGTAACAGCAACTGGATACCGTTCCAGTGTATCTTTTTACTCATAATTTATTTCACCTATGTCATGTTTGAACTATTAGTTTGTATCCATCCTGTTCTATATTACAATTTGATGACAGATGACCAATTCCCTGACTTTAAATGATAAAAATACTAATTTTATGTGAAGATACAGGGATTTGGCTAAAACAAGATTGTGTGCACCAAATTAAAGTGTCATTTGGCCCAGAAAGGCAGGACGGGGTAGGGCAGCCCTCCTGTTTTCCAGCGCAAATCCTGGCTGTGGGCTACCTGGCGTGGGGGTAGGGGTGGGGGTGGGGAGCGGTTCTTTGAGCCTGTCCCTGCCAGGGAAGGTGAAGGCCCCAAGCACTACAGCCAGTGCACCGGCCCTCTCCTGTCTTGTTAGAACAACGATGCTCAGGCTCCTTCCATTAGACCGCTGCCTCTGACTCATCAGAATCACCCAGGGGGCTTGTTAAAAACACAGCTCGCCTGGCTGCGCTCCCGGACCCCGGACTTGAGTGGCTGGGGGCGGGAGGGGGGCAGGTGATTCTGAGCACCGTTGCAAGCTAGGAATTGCTCCCTTAATTCTGGCCAGGGTGGAGATCAGACCACCTGGTCTTGTCCACAGCTGATACTCGTTCTCTTTTGCAATAAATGTTTGGTGATCAGAGCGCTGGGCCGGCCGGAGGAGGCGTCGGGCGTCCAACACGGCTTCGTGTACCACTCGTCCGTCTCTTGCCCGGGGTTGCCCTAAGGGAAGTAGCTGAGGTAGACTTCTCTGGCTAACAGAGCAAGCCTTTGCTTAACCTCCTTTCCCTCCCGCCTTTTGTCTGTCCTAGGAGCTACTGGTTGCGCATGCAGGAGGTGGGTTCTGGCCTGCGCCCTCCCCCGTTTCTTGGATGACCTCTGCAGGGACTGGGCGGCTGTGAGGCCCGTGCTCCTGGTGGGGGACACGCGCCTCTGGCGCATCCACGGCGACAATCAGTCCCCCCGGCATATTGGACTTGGAGCTTCCCCGCAGAGCCGCCGGAGGTCCGGCTGCGGGCGTCCTCCCTCCAAAGAAGGCTGTCCTCCCTCAAAAGAAGGCTGTCCCCGCGCCCCGCCAGGCTGCTCCAGCTCCCAGGCCTGGCGCGAGGGTGGCTGCGAGGGTCGAGCGACACCCTCCTACCCGCAACGCCTCCTCGTCCCGCAGCGCGAGGCTGGGCCAACAAGAGCTCCGTTACCGCCCAGCCGGCGCGCCCTGGAGCCGGAGCACCCGCTCTCCGCCCTTCCTCCCGGGGAAACCTGGGGGGTGATTAGGTAGCAAGAAGCCGTCCCCAGACTCCCCATCCATCCCCCCCCAAGCTGCTCCAAGAGAGCTGCCCCCAGGGGGAACCCTGTGCCCGGCGCGGCTCTGCCTCCTGGGTCCCCAACCGCCAGAGTGGCCGCGCGGGAGACGGGGTGTCTCCGCGGGCTCGCGCCCCACCTGCAAGCACCCCAGTCCACCCCAACCGATGAAATCCCGCCCTCCTGCGTCCCTAAGAGATGCTCCCTGTACCCCAACACACACACCTGTGGCTCTAAGCCTCTCACTGTCTCCCCCCACCTGCAGCACGCCCCTCCCTCTCGATCCCTCCACCTGCTGCTCTAAGCCTCCCTCTCCAGCCCCCACCTGCAGCCCTCCCCCTGTCATCCCTCCCTGGCGCCCCAGCACACGAGATCCCGCCTGTTTGCGCCTCCCCCAGCCACGCTCCCCGCAGCCCCCGCTTGAGGCGCTAACCCCACCTCCAGCGCCCCCCAAACTCGGCGCCCCGCCCTCCTGCGCCGCTAACTCCCCCCGCCGCGCCTCGCCGCGTCCGCAGCGCCCCGCCCGCGCGCACGAACGCCGCGCCGCGCCGCCATTGGCGCTGGGCGGCGCGGCGCAGCCGGGCGGCGGTTCCGAGCCGGGCGCGCGGGCCGGGTCCTCACTGCCAGCTGCGCGCCCCAGGGAGCCGGCATCCTCGGCCTGCTCGCCATGGACGCCGCCGCCGCCGCCGACGCCGCCACCACGGGCTCCCTGCGGAAGTTCCTGGAGCACCTCTCCGGCGCCGGCAAGGCCATCGGCGTGCTGACCAGCGGCGGGGATGCCCAAGGTGCGCGCCGCCCGCCGCCGGGCCGGGGCGCAGGGCGCGGCGGGGGTCGTGGCCGGGGAACCGGGCTAGGCTGCGGGCAGGGACTGGGGAGGAGCGGGAGGCGCAGGGGTCGTGGCGGGGGGTTGGGGAGGAAGGATAGGCGTTAGGATTCCGCATCGGGAAGACCAATGAGTTTTCTACCTCACGTTATATTTGTAAACTGGGACCGCACGGCGGGCCGCCCGAGGCCAGCTCGTCCGGTACCTGAACCCCCGGAGGGGCGGCTCCAGGCTTAGGTACCCCGCGGCCGCCTCTGAGGCCGCAGCTCCAGCCCGGTCTTCCCGCCCCGCCCCTGAAATGTCGTAGGAAAAACGGCTGTGTCCCCGCGGCGCCTCCCGCCTACTGCGTCCCCCGCGCGGCGCGGGCACGTCCCCGCTGCTGCACCGCGGGGCGCGGGACCGGGTGCGCGGGGTCCCCGCCCGGGGCTGCCCCGGCGTTCCGGCAGCGCCTCGCGTTTCCGCCGGGAGGTTTGAGAGAGGCTTTTCCTCCGCGCTTACCTCCGGTCGCCTTCCGGCTCGTGACAAAACTGAAAACTAAAATGGGTCAGCAGGCCCTCCCCGCCAGCCTCCCGGACGTCACCGGCGGCGCCCGCCAGCGCGCGGACTCCGGGCTCCCCCTTCCCCTGCAACGCGGGGCTGCTTTCCAGGAGGAGGGGGCCCAAGCCAGGGCCCGCGGATGCGCTGGGAGAATATTGAAAATTTAGAAGAGGGGGGGTGCCTGCGCTGCAGCCCTGGGTGCACGTGGGGGCGCCGGGGTTGGCAGACGGTGGGGGTTCCCGGTCGGTGTGAATCCCGGCTGGGGCAGAGCCAACCACTCTCGGCCTTGGAGCCTTACGCAGCGCGCGGGCTGGAGCCACGTTCCCCAGCTGAGCTGGGTTTGATTTGGATCCCCCCCCCTTCCACCTGCCCCAGATGGGTGGGCAGGCCCCGCGCCTCCTTTCCTGGCGTTTCGGGACAGCACACCGTTGGGGTATGAGCCCGACGCCCTCGAGTTCTGCCCACTGCGCCGGTGACCTTCCCCTCGCCCTTGAGCAGGCGGGGCGGTGCGGGGGCGGCAGGTTGGGGCGCTTTGGGCGCCGCCCCGCCTGCCACGGGCGCCTGCCTACGTGATGCCCAGCCCGTCGCTCACGGTGTGCGAAGACGCGGAGTCCCCCATGCGCAGCGCGGGCCACTGGCCCTGGGAAGTCGCCCTGTTGGTCCTGGGGAGACCCTGGTCTCGTCGCTGGGCGCCGCCCCACGCCGCAGGCCCGCCGTCCTCACTCCAGGGAAGCAGGGTTACTCTAGTGTTGGCATTCTCGTAAAAGGGTCCGGGTACAAACGTGCCCCGTGGGGTGCTGGTTTCTCAGAGTATGTGAAGTAGCAAAGGCTGGGATAGGACCAGCAGGAAAGCGAAATGGAAACAACGTGGTCCGTCTGCCTTACTGAAACTTGCGGGAAGATGAGTGAGGACGAAGAGAGTCTCATGGGGTCGGGGTGCGATCCGGTGCGACTTCCCAAAGGGCTTCAGGAGCTGGAGAAGCGCCTTTGGTGACCCGCCCTGCGCCCGGAAGGGGAAGGAGCCGTTGGTTGGCACAGGAAGGGGAACTGACCTCTGTCAGCCAGCAGGGCTGCAGGGTCAGACCGTCAAGGTTACTTTAGGATTAAGGGGCCGCATCTGTTGGAAACAGGTTTACGGCTCATTCTTTGAGCTCCCTGTGCAAGGAAGGGTTTGCTAGAATATTTGGCAGAACGAACGTTTCTCTGTTCCTTATCCTGGAGCCGCCACTCCTGAGGCGTTATGATGCACGTCTAAGGCTGGGAAGTCCATGCCCCCTCTTCCGTGGAAGAGGGTACTTTGGAAACCAGGGTTACTGGGAGAGCACTGCCTGGATGGCGTAGACTCTACCAGGGGTCCTCAAACTAAGCCGGAGGGCCACATGCGGACCGCTGAGGACATTTATCCGGCCCAACGGGTGTTTTTGCCACCGCTGCCTGTCCTGCTTAGCAGCCGACTCGCCCCGGGCCCACAGTGCTCCTGTGTGGAATGTGCGCCCCACTCTCCAACGGTCTGAGGGACAGTGACCTGGCCCCCTGTTTAAAAAGTTTGAGGACCCCTGCTAGTCCATCAGAGGTGGCTGCTCTCAGCTGTGCAGGTGCCATTCAGTGAGGATCTCAAGGGCCACATCCGGGCTGTCCTGCCTTGGCCGGCTGTCTGGCGGGGGTGTCCCTTGGGCAGAGCTGAAGCCACTGACTCCCTGTGAGCAGCCCCACCCCGCTGAGGTGCTGTCCTGAGCCTGTGCGAGCGTTTGGATGTGTCTCTTTCCTGAGGACATTCGCGCCCAGGTGTGGGCAGAGGGCCCGGTCTGGGCAGCAGCCGTGCGGAGCCTTAGAGCAGGTTATTGGCTCCAGCTGTTGTCTGTCAGACCCCCCCTCCCCACTCTTTCACCATTTTACCATGATCCTACATGACTTCAGTCCCCGATTTCCCCCTCTGTCCCCCCGGGGAGATAGAAGAATTTTTTGCTTGTTAGCTGGAGATCAAGGAGAGTGAATTCAAGACTTCAATTTTTAGGGTTGTTTTCTAATCATACGGGAAATTGTGGTAACGTTCTCTGTTCAGAGAGCTACAGCTACTCCTTATTGACAACACTTTTATGCACTAGGAGCTTTTCAGTTCCCACCTCTGGGCCTAATGACACACGGCTGCAAGATACACGTTGCTTCATTTTAGAGGAGGGAGGAAGACCCCCCCCCAAGAAGGTGTTGCTTAGGTAAAGCCACCAGGCTCAAGCACGGTTGTGGTGGGATTTTAAGCCAAGCTCTGCCAGCTGTTAATCCCAAACCCTTCACCATCCACCAGACCACACTGGACGGGCTGTATCATCTAGTCAGTGCTCAAACGTGAGCAAAGCCCGACTTGCTCAAAACTGTGCAGATAATTAATTACACAGTGGCTTTGCCAGTGGAACAGAAAATGCCTTTTATGTAAGCGATAGCAAAACAAGGCAGCCCAAATGGTGCAAACACTCGGTCCAGTGGGACTGAGTGCTTTTTTTTTTTAACCCCAAAAGGAATTGATAGTATTTAATTATAAAATAAAACTGAAAATCTCCCGTCTGTATTCCTGACTCTCTCTCCAGCCCCCAAATTAAGGAAGAGTATCATCCGAGGCTATTTGTTTTCCCCTCGTTCTTTGGGTATCCTCTGGTGTCTGCACGTTGAAATTGATTTTCGCTTTGACCTGAAGGGATTCCACACCGCTGGGCTGCTGGGCTGCAGGGACAGACTTGCCGTGACTAAGTGCCCACGCCCACCCCAAAAATGAATCATTGTCTTAGTCACAGGCTGTGGCCTCTGCAGGGCCTGGTGCCTGGCGGCGCTGAGGGTACAGGGTGGGCGGAATTTGGAAGCTGAGTCCTTTCTTCGCATGGTGCCGTGGCCGGCGACACACGTTTGCAGAAAGTCCACATGCACTGAGTGCTTGGAAGTCTTTCCAGTCATGGTGGGAATAGCTAGTGTTTATGGAACCCTGGTTACCGGGCAGGCACTGAGTGCTCCCGGGTGCTATAAATCATTTATTCCCGCTCGACGCGTGAGCAGGTGAAGCTGAGAGGCGCTGTCTTCCCTGAGTCCACAGAGCGCAGTGGTGGGGCCGGGCCCCGGGGCCGCGGGCACCTGTGCGAGTTCACCAGTGTGTTCCCGGCGCCCAGCGCCATGTGGGACACTTAGCAGGGACTCAAATGGCTATAGACTGTTCCCCACCTGGAATCTCCGCAGGTGAAGTGGCAGGTGACTAGGAGTTCTGGCTGTCGTCCTAATCAAAAAGTAGTCTTATCCTCACAGCAGTATGAATGAACTGTTTGTTTTTTTGAGACAGAGTCTCACTTTGTTGCCCAGGCTAGAGTGAGTGAGTGCCGTAGCATCAGCTTGGCTCACAGCAACCTCAAACTCCTGGGCTCCAGCGATCCTCCTGCCTCAGCCTCCCCAGTAGCTGGGACTACAGGCATGCGCCACCACGCCCGGCTAAGTTTTTTTTTTTTTTCTATATATATTAGTTGGCCAATTCATTTCTTCCTATTTATAGTAGAGACGGGGTCTCGCTCTTGCTCAGGCTGGTTTCGAACTCCTGACCTCGAGCAATCCACCCGCCTCAGCCCCCCAGAGTGCTAGGATTGCAGGCATGAGCCACCGCGCCCAGCTGAGAGTGAACTGTTAATACGACGTTAGAACTTTATAGTCTGCAGCATGAGGTTCCAGAAGCCCTGACCCCAAGGCTCTAAGTCGATGCTTCTATTTCACAATATTTATGAAACACCAAGACGTTAGTCTTGCGTGGGCTCCTTCAGGGCCTGGAGCTCTGCATCTATGTCCTTTAATGGGATCTTTTCAGTGTGAAACATAACTCATTTAACAAACATCATTGCGTCTAGTTGGCAGTGTGTTAGGTTTGTGGTGCAGCCCCATCGTAGGAGGGTAGATTGGTGGAACTGCATCATTTTATATGAACGCGAATAGCTTTGTGTGACACATTCAGATGACCCCTCGCAGCTAGACGTTTTGTCATCTTTCCAGAAAAAACATGTCCCCCCCCCCTTGGTTACAGAAAACTAAGGCTTTTGATGGAGGGCTTCAACCTTTTATCTGGGAGAATCGGGGCCGTTCGAATGAGCTCTACCAATCTGAATGGGCCGTTGGGGGCAATTAACATGGGGAAGATGAAGCTAAGGTAGCAACAGGGTCACGGTGACCATCGGGTGCCCAGTTGGAAGCCCGCTGCACTCACAGTGGTGGTACGAACGTGCATTTGGCTAAGGGGCGCACGGCTCTGTGCCGGGAAAGAGTCGCATCCCTTTGCGAGTTAGGCTTCTCAGCAAGCTCTGTCTTGCATTGTTGTGTCTTTATTTTTTTCCAAAGCGTGTGCCATGCTCCTCTGTTCTCTGCGCCCTCACCACCCAGCCGTTTGCTCCGGATTACAGTCATTGTGCTTGTCAGGACGCATGGCAGAGCAGAGCACTGAGACTGGGAGGCTTATTTATAGGTCCTGCTTCCTGGCTCTGCTATCTCTAGTGGCCTGATGGGGTCCTGGTGGTTTTCCTTTGCAGATAGAAGGCGACATTCAGTCTCCATCTCCTCCCTTCCCTCCCCTCCTCCCTCCCAGGCACTTAGCCTCAGTGAAAGTCTCCAGGCAAAAGAGAAAAGGCAGGACTGCCCTGGGCCCCTGCCAGCCCATCCCTGTCCTTGATGTGCCTGGAGCCACCTGGGGACCCGTCCCCTTTGGGGGCGCTGTGTGCCACACCGAGCTGGGGCCCATGGGGCGGTTTGCAAACCCAGGCAGAGGAGCTCCTTGGAGGCTTCTCCGAGATAGGACCGTCCCGTCATCCTGTGTGATTATTTTCTGACTTTGACCAGAATTTCAACTGCAAAGACTCATTAATTTGGACCCCCCCCCATCTAAAAATGTAAGCGATCTGACGAGACGTGATTAGCAGGGTGGAATATAGTACCCTCGGGTGGGCAGTCATCCTTCCTTCGTCAGCCCTGGTTTGACAGTGGTGAGGTTTCGTTTCCGTGTCTGTGACCCTTCCACGCATTCAACTGCTCTGAACGTGCCAAGGCAGGCTCTGGGCGCAGCGTGGAGCCTCTTCCTTCCGGAAGCTCGCGGGCCGGGAGGCTGCGCTTTGCAGCTGGGCTGCGTAGAGCTGAGAAGGAGCAGGTCTGGGAAGGAGGATTGCTGTCGCACGGCGGGGCCCCGAGGAGACCTTGGTTCAGGGACTTTGAACCTGCTCGGGGAGCAGCTGGAGGCAGGGGAGGACTTTGGATTTACCTGTGAACTGGGAGGCCATGTGGAGGTTACCGGCTACCTCTGATAAGGGACGAGAGCGGGGAGGAGAGGGAAGGGGTCTCTCGAGGAGCAGGATCGGGCCACAGATGCAGGGTCCAGGGGGGCTGCAGGATGCGGGGCGCCCACAGACACCCCCACGGGTGGACGGGGGTCCCCGAGTGGATTGGGGTGTACGGTGGGTGGGAGCTCACCCCGTGCAGCGGGACAAAGACAGAGCACACACGTGTGCAGAGCTAGATGCAGGTAGGTGGGTCGAAGGGTATTCTTCATAGCAGTGTTCGTGATAGCAAAAAGTGGAAAAACCTGCAAAAAAAAAACAAACCATCAACAGGAAATTAATTCCATCGTGGCACCTGGAGTGGATTTTTTATCCGTGTTTAATGAGGAGGTTTGTGTTGGTCGCTGGGACGAAATGTAACTCCATGCATCAAGGACGGTTTTAAAGAGTAGATTCAAAGGCACCTCTGCCCAGTGGGAGCACTGCCTTGGTACCCTGCCTTCTGCATAAAGTTTCCAATGATCTGGTGACCACATTTAAAAAAAAACAAAAACTGAAAGCAGCAGGTGAAATTAACATAAAATTTATTTAGCTCACTATTTTAATGCATAATCAATTATTGTATTGATTAGTAATAAGATATATATATGTAAATTTTTTTTTTGAGACAGGGTCTCACTCTGTTGCTGGGACTAGAGTGCCGTGGCATCAGCCTAGCTCACAGCAACCTCAAACTCCTGGGCTCAAGCGATCCTCCTGCCTCAGCCTCCTGAGTAGCTGGGACTACAGGCATGCACCACCATGCCCGGCTAATTTTTTCTATATACGTTTTTAGTTGGTCAATTAATTTCTTTCTATTTTTGGTAGAGACGGGGTCGGTCTCGCTCTTGCTCAGGCTGGTTTCGAACTCCTCACCTTGAGCGATCCTCCCGCTTCGGCCTCCCAGAGTGCTGGGATATTACAGGTGTGAGCCACCGCGCCCAGCCAGATATGATATTTTACATTCTTTTTTTCCCCCCGACTAAGTCCTTGGAATCCTGTGCACACGGACATAGCACATCTCTGCTTGGAGGAGACACGTGAGGCCGGCGGCTACGCCAAGGGGGAAGGTGTGGTCACAGGGTGACGGCTGGCGTGTCGCAGCCTATATTTAGAAGTTCCCCGTGTGAGTGTGTGAGTGTGTGAGTGTGTGCGTGTGTGTGTGTGTGTGCGTGCGTGAAGGCTCTGAGTGATGTTTGGGGGCTGCTGACACTGTCCAGGCCCCTGCAGCCGCCGCTGAAGTATAGCTCGCTGTGCCCCGCCCGTTACTTTCTCCTCCTCACCGAGGCCCTTCTGCCCTTGGGTGCGATCGATTTGCCTGCCGCCCCAGTGCCTGGCCCAGATGGGGACACTTCAGTCCTCAGGTGTGGGGTGCTGGGTGAGCGATTGAGGGAAGACCCCCCTCTCGCAAATTCATTTCAAGTTCCACCTGAACTCAACCCCGAGACACCCTGGCCTGGCCAGCCCACGAGGACTTGGACCCGGGGTGCCAGGCGCCCCCCACCCCCCGACAGAACCCCCTTTGCATCTATCTGCATGCACCTCCCTGTCCCTGCCCGAGTCACTGGAGAGAAAAAGCCGTAGGAAGGACCCCCGTAGCAAGAGTACTGGAGGGCGGGTTTGACGTTCCCTTTCTGACAAGCCAGCACGAGCGGCGAGCGGCCTGACTTTATCAGAAAGGAATTTAAATATTGAAATCAGTGCTCCTGTGGTTACGAGTACTGAGAAAATGCAGGAAAAAGGGGTTCAGAGCTGTCAAAAGCAGGTAAGTGGGGAGGTTTTGACACTCTCCAGACAACATAGGAGATAAAATCGTGGACCCAGATGATTGCATTAGCATCAGTATATTCTTTGTTTTTTTTTGAAAAAAAAATATTGCTCACGATTTACATGTTATCAGAACGGAATCTCGGGGAGCTTTTGCTGCAAAGGAGAACCCCACCCCAGAGCGGCCGGCCAGTGAGGATTCGCCCGGAACTTTCTCTCTAGCAGCTGCTGTGCACATGGAACACGCTCTGAGCTCAAGGAGCAAGTTGTCCTGGGACTTGTCTTTCTTCCCTGCCCCGTAGTTTAGTAAGAAGCTGTTGCAGAACGTGTACTATCAAGAAAATGGTTTAATAACCTGCCCTTTTCTGTCGCACTTTGAGTAATCATCACGTATTTCCTACTGGACTGCTCCCCCGCCCCGACCGTCTGAAAGTTCGTTTCTGGTTCTCACGGCAAGGTTATACCTTTCCGGAGGACTGGGGTTTTTAGGTCTGTGCAGATTGCCAAGAGGTTCTTTTCCAAATATCGAGATTTCTGCATGGTAGGAGGACCGCATTTTTTTTTTCCCACGGGGACGTTTAGGAAAGTTGTTTGAGGGTCCCGTCCCAGGTCAGGCTAGCAAAACAAAACTCAGTAACCCCAGGACGCCTGAAACATGACTGAGAATGGTAGCAGAAAAGGTTGAGTGCAAGATCCTGACACTGCCCTTCCTTCCGGGTGGCTGGGACGGGGCCCCCTCAGCCCGTGAGCCACGATGGTGACAGGGACCACCTTCAGGTCCACGCGGTGGCTCTGGGCGGCTACGGCCACTCAGGTGAGTGTCCGCCCAAGGCGGACTTCAGCGGACGGCAAAATCGAGTCTCTCAGACAACCATGATGATGCTTGGCATGACGCCGATCTTAATTTCTTTTAAACAAAGCGGGGGAAATGTCCCTGTTTTACCCGGATTAGGTATGATTGTTTATAGGACGCCACTTTAGTGCAACTTTTCTTCTGGTAAAAGCACATGATCTGTCTTGTATTTGAGCCCATTGCCTAGGGTCCCCCGCACCCGCCCCTGTAGCTGGTGATGAAATACCGTGTCTCCCCAAAAATAAGACAGGGTCTTATATTTATTTTTCCTCAAGAAGACACCCTAGGTCTTGTTTTCAGGGGATGTGTTATTTTATTTTTATTTTATGTACGGTACAACCGTCTACATTGATTCAAATACAGTTCAGTCGTCTTCTTCTGGAACATCATCATCACTCTCCAAACCCCTAATTCCATCCTGAATTTCTTGTGACTCTATTTCCTTTAGAACCACTGGCCCCAATCTCTCCTGTCGAGCACTAGAGCTCTCACGGGGCAGATGAGGAGGGCTGCTCGTCTTCTTTCCCGCTCCGCGACGACACGCATGGGTTGTGCAGATGCGCTGCGCAGCCACGCCCGTCACTAGGGCTTATTTTCGGGGTGGGGCTTCTATTGCGCACATGCTTAGAAATCCTGCCGGGGCTTATTTTATGGGGAGGTCTTATTTTCAGGGAAACACGGCAGTCCATCTCCTCTTCACATCACAGACACGGAACTTGGCCCACTATTTAAAAATGCCCGTCCCCTGTGATCAGATGGCGTTGCCTATGTGTCTATGCCAAGTCCAGGCGGTGCTGTTCTGAACCGAAAGCCCGACTCTCCGATGCTGGCCCCTCGCCCTGCAGGGCACCTCGCTCTGCCCCGGCTGTTTCTCCTCCTCCTCCTCCACCCCAATCCTGGAGGTGCAGGTGGCACCCGTTTCTCGCATTGGTAAACTGAGGCTGGGGGGTTACGCGGTTCCCCCGCAGTCACGGGGAGTGGGTGGCAGAGCCAGGGTGACCCGAGGCTCCCTGGTTAACTGTTGTCCCTGTTTCCCTTTGCAGGCATGAACGCGGCTGTCCGCGCAGTGGTGCGCATGGGCATATACGTGGGAGCCAAGGTGTACTTTATATACGAGGTCAGTGCTGCTCCCCTCCCTTGACCCTGGGACTCGGACCCCCCTGCTGCCCCCTAGCCCGGGGCTCCGCAGCCCTAGGCCGCTGCCCACCTGCCTCCTGCCAGGCACGGCCCGGGCGGGTGGACACCCGGGTTCTGCGGGGCTGTGTGCCACCACCCCCTCCCCCCAGCAGCGTGTGGCAGCCCCGGCCAGGGGCACTTACATGGCAGGCCATGCCCCTGGGCTCGTCAACACCCGGCGTGGGCGAGTTGGGGTTAGGAAGTGCAGGGAGAAGGGACGAGACAGAACCCAAAAGGCCACTTCGACGTCAGCTTCCTGGCCTGGACCGCTGGGCTCGGGGAGCCCAGACCGCCCTGTTTGCACGCAGCGGCTCTCGTTCCTACGGGAGCGGCGTGTTTGTTTCCAGTGCAGGCCGCGTTTGGAGAAACACTGAGAGAAAGGGGAAGAGACAGCCACTCTGAGCCTCTCGTCTCTAATGTAAAAAAAAAAACCCAGTCCACCTCCCTGGCATCTGTTCCTGTGTTGGCTTCGAAGCGAAGGCTCTCACCTCCCACCGCCCGGCCCCGTCGATTGAGGGCTGAGGGGCGTTGGAAGGGACGGTACCAGGAGAGCGTGGACTACGCTATTTATTTCAAAAACTACTGGGGAAAAAATAGTATTTAAATTTATAAAAATGTGCAATATAGCTTTGAAAAAATGGGAAGAAGGGAATATATTTTTAAAAGTCACTTAATTCCTGCAAAAATCACTGTTAGCATTTTAGTCCGATTCCTCCCAGTATTTTATTTACACACACACACACACACACATATATATATGTAGCCAGAAGGAAATAGGTGCATTATTAAAATGATAGCAAATGTATTATTTTTTAATTTTTTCAGGATATTATGGGGGTACAAATGTTAAGGTTACGTATATTGCCCTTAGCCCTCTCCCCCCTCGAGTCAGAGCTTCAAGCGTGTCCATCCCCCAGTTGGTGCACATCACATTATGTATGTATATGCCCATCCCCTCCCCACACACCTGCCCGACACCCGATAGATGTTACTCCTATATGTCCACTTAGATGTTGATCCGTTAATACCAATTTGCTGGTGAGTACATGTGGTGCTTGTTTTTCCATTCTTGAGATACTTCATTTAGTAGAATGGGTTCCAGCTCTAGCCAGGAAAATGCAAGAGGTGCTCTATCACCACTGTTTCTTACAGCTGAGTAGTACTCCATGGTCTACATAGACCATATTTTATTAATCCACTCATGCATTGATGGGCACTTCGGTTGTTTCCACATCCTTGCGATTGTGAATTGTGCTGCTGTAAACATTCGATTGCGGGTGTCTTTTTCGTAGCGTGACTTTTGTTCTTTTGGGTAGATGCCCGGTAATGGGATTGCCGGATCAAACGGTAGATCCACTTGTATCACTTTGAGGTATCTCCAAGCAAATGTATTTTGCGTACTGTGTGTTTTCGAGTACCATTATGACTGTTTTCTGCTTGCTACACCGTTTCCATGGTGTTGCTTTGCATATCCACACACACTGTCCCATCACACTGATGTCTCCGTCTCTCCGCTCTTTGTATGTTCCGCCCGTCCCGGGTCCGTGGGCTGCTGAGTTTGCGCCCATTTTTGAGCTGTCACAACACTGCAAGATCCGTGTTAATTAATGCTCAAAGCTAGTCAATGTCTGTATCATTCCGTTTATCCCAAGACATGGCACGGACTGTCGTCACAGCAGGTTGGGATCATTCCTGCTTAGGTGATTTCTGCAGCCCACTCCGGGCCCTGTGCCCGGCCAAGTCCCAGAGTGTCCCTCCCGCCCCTGTGGGCTCTCTGTGTGCGGCCGACTCTAGGGGGCCTGGCACAGGCTCCTCTGTCCACCTCCCAAGTCATCTGGCCCTTTGGTGGAATGTCCGCTCGAGTTCTTTGCTCGTTTGTCTGCATAACCCATGCGTTTATTATTTGCTGGAATGCAGTATATTTATGACTTTCATTATTTGCCAGAAAGAGGTGGTTGTTGTTTTTTTTTTTTTATCTCCTTGTGTTTTGGTTTACTTTGTTTAAGCTGTGGTTTTGTGGGTTTTTGTTTGCATCGGTCTGGTTTGGGGGCAGTTTTTAAAAGGAAGGGGTCTAACCGTAGCATTTCCAGGTTGTTGTTTTCGCATTTCACGTGTGCATCTTTCTTGGTAAGGTCAGATCGCCCTTGGGAATTTCCATTCCTGGCTCGCTGACTTGGAATGAGCTCATGTCAGACTCTGCACGTCCCAAACCCCTCACCTCCTCCCTGCTCTTGAATTTGCACTGACATCCAAGAGGGTCTCTCACCAGCACCTGGCGGTGACCGGTTGTTTCTGCCCCTGGCACAGAGCATGCGTGTGCATGCTGAGTCAGTTTCCTCTCCCTTCTCCCTTTCTTTCTCTTTCTTGGGCGTGGAGGGTTGAGCGGTCTGCTTTGTGCTTGCAGAGACCGCTGCACCCTAGCCTGGGGGCAGTTCCTCCCAGTGAAAGTGGCTATAAAAAAGCTCTTTGGGGCTGGAGCATCCTCAGATGAGGTTTATGCCATTATAATTCTTAATAGCAGAGTTGTTTTTTGAAGTCACCGGAGACGTGTAGCTCACAGAAAACCCCAGGAAAGCTGTGACTCTGACCGCCTGCCCTGCCGCAGTTCTCTGGGTTGTGCTCCGAGTCGAAGTCCCTTCGGGACGGCCATGGCCGGCCCCAGTCCTCACGGGGGCTCCGTGGGTGCTGGAAGAAAGGGAGGAAGTTGTTTCTGTTATTTCATAGTTAGAGAAACCGACTGGTCACGCAGGGCTGGGAAAGAGAGTGGACCCCTCCGACTGCCAGCCCAGGATGGGAGCAGTGACTCACCAACCCTGGACGTTGGCCGATGTTGGGAGATGTTTTTTGATTGCCCATTATTGGAGGGAAGAACTGCTTCTGGCCAACCGAGGGGGGGGTGGAGGCTAGAGGTGCTGCCTAGCAGCCTGCAGGGCACAACGTGGCCCCTCCCCTGCAGCACACAGCGTGGCCCTGCCCCAAAGAGCTACCTGGCCCCAAATGCCCACAGTGCCGAGGTGGGGAGGAGCCTGCGTTAGGACAAGAGCTGAGTCTGTGTCTCCTTTGATGCTGCTCCCCGGGGACGGGCAGGGTGGGGTGTGGCGGGGGGTGCATGAGCTGGATCATTGATGTGGGAACAGGTCCAGCTTCTCAGACTTGAGGGTTTCGTGTCTGTGGTGGTTGTGTGACTTTGGTGGTTCCTGCATCCCTGTGTCCATCTGCGCCCTGGGGGCTGCCTAGCTGTCTGCAGAGCCAGCCCTCTGGGACGTGGCGTGTTTCAGAATTAAGGGACCGACGTGCGGCACACCCCCGGAGCCCCACACCTAAGACAGTGGGCTCTTCTTTGAGGCCAGCCAGAGTCATTCTCCTCATCAGCAACCAGGGAACGGAGGGGGGAGCCCTGAGATCCACGCCGACCCGGGGTAGCAGGTGCATCCTCTGGGCGGCTGCGGCATGAGCCCCGCTCTGCCCACCCGGGGGGGCCGGAGGATTCCCGAGGGATCAGGCCTCATTTCCTGGAGGGGATCGCAAATGTCTGCAGCTCCTCCGTGGGGGTGTCGCCAAAAGCAAATCCTTGCATGCACATATGGGGGGTTTAGGGCTATCATAGCTCTCGTGACCACTGCTTTGGTAGGAAGTGGCGCCTTGGGTCGAGGGTGTCTGGAAGCTTCGCCGAATGCAGCATTCATTTATGGCTTTGGGCACCGGGAATCATCGGGCCTCTGGAATTTTCTTATGGGAGGGAAACGGGAGCAGCCCGGGGGGGGGGGTCGACTCACTGGAACTGAAGTCGCCTGTCTGGTGAGGACAGGACGCTTCTCGGGACACCCCTTCCTCACCTCCTCCCACAAAATCGGGACAATCCGGTGAGCGGGTCCTGTTCTGTGCCCCCCCTTTTGTTTTTTAATTTTTTTTTTTTACTTTTCTCTTTTTATTTTTTTATTAATAAGATATTACTTCTCTTTTTTCCTGAAAAAATGCCAACTGATGTTCTGTGTCCCCTTCTAGCAGAAGGTCCTCGGCATTGGCCATTCCTCGCTCGGGGCTCACTTGGGGACATAAACTCCTCCGGTCTCCCTCGGGGCCAGGGGAACCGGACCCCACACGGGCAGCAGGTGCTTAGCTCAGCGGTAGCGATAAGCGTTACCTACTTGCGCCAGATGAGCCTGGGTTATCACCGCCTCGCCATTACTGATGTCAAAATCCCGTATCCATAATTTTGAAATCCCGAACACCCTAAAATATGCATGTTTTTTTTCCCTCCGCTCACTTGGCAACCCAGCCCCGGCCAGCCGGGAGCGAGGCTGGGCCGTGTGACCCACGCACCCCGCCCGGCGTGACGGCCCCGGCCTGGCTCTGCAGAGAGGTTTGGCGCCGAGCTCGCTCCCGAGAGCCTTGGGTTCTGGGTGTGGTCACGTCCAGGCTGCTCTTTAATTTTTAATCGTCGCAGGCTCGTGACAATAGACACGTTAGGGGGAATGCGGGGTGTTTAGATACGAGCTTTCCGTGTGCAATGGCCAAAGCAGGGTGACTGGGGTTCCCACCACCTCAAGCAGAGCATTTGTCATTCCTTTGTTGCCGGGGGCATGCCGTTTCCACTCTTAGTTATTTTGAAATATAAAATAAATTGTTGCTAATTGTGGTCGCTCCATTGTGCATGCATACCTGTCACTGGCTATTCTTCTTTCCATGTCACTGTATTTTTTCCCACCCGTAACGCTGTTATGCATTTCCCGCCCTAACCCTCCGTCACTCCTGCGCCTTCCCCGACCCTGTCTTAACCTTCATGTCGTTCTGTCTTAGGACTCAATTTTTCTTTTGTTAGCGTCTTCAATATGCATTAGATACTTCTGTGGCACGCATCGCTTCATCCACTAACAGTAAGCGTCCTCCAGTCCCGTCCAGGTTGCTGCAGATGACAGGATCCCATCGCTTTTCATGCTG